GGGTCCCGGCTGCTTGGGAATAGCCCCCCATCCACCTTGGGAAGGGTCCCGGCTGCTTGGGAAGGGTCCTGACCGCTTGGAAATAGCCCCCCGTCCAGCTTGGGAAGGGTCTTGACTGCTTGGGAAGGGTCCCATCCATCTTGGGAATGGGCAGGCTGCTTGGGAATGGTGCTGGCTGCTCAGGAAGGGCCCCCTGTCCAGCTTGGGAAGGGTCCAGGCTGCTTGGGAATGGGCGGGTTGCTTGGGAATGGTGCCTCATCCGCCTTGGGAAGGGCTCTGTCCGACTTGGGAAGGGTCCTGGCTGCTTGGGAAGGGCCCCATCCACCTTGGGAATGGGCAGGTTGCTTGGGAAGGGCCCCCCGTTTGGCTTGGGAAGGGTCCCATCCACCTTGGGAAGGGTCCTGGCTGCTTGGGAATGGGCCCCCGTCCACCTTGGGAATGGTTGGGCTGCTTGGGAATGGCCAGGCTGCCAGGAAGGGTCCCCTGTCCTGCTTGGGAAGGGTCCTGGCTGCTTGGGAATGGGCGGGTTGCTTGGGACGGGTCCCATCCGACTTGGGAAGGGTCCCGACTACTTGGGAATGGCACCCTATCCAGCTTGGGAAGGGCTTCCCGCTCCTTAGGGCTTCCCGCTCATTCCGGCCGAGCCGGATTTGGTGGGAAATCCAACGGGATCGGGGTTAGGCTCCCTAATTTTCCTCTCCTTTCCCTCTGCCTTCTTCCTGCTCCCGCTGCCGCCTCCTTTTCCAGGACCTCAAAGGAATTTTCATCAGGTCAGTGCCTCTCTCTTCCCATCTTTTTTTTTGCCCTGAAAAGCCCTTTTATTTTGGTGCTAAAAAAGCCCTTTTGTGTTAAATTCCTGCCTGGGATGTGCTGGGAATCGGAGATCCCGGAGTCTCTCCCAGGAGCTGCTTTTTTTCTGGGAGAAGAGCCGGGCTCCGGCGATCGGGAGCAGCCTGTGGATCTGGGAATCTCTGGATCCGCCCTTTTCCCATCGCCCTTCCCGCCGGCAGGTGCGAGACCATGAAATTCCAGGAGCCCGAGGCGATCCCGGCGGACGCGGACAGGAAAACCCGCAACTGCTTCCTGCAGGACGTGGTGATGAGGAAGATGGAGAAGGTCTTCAACAAAGTGCCCCACGGTGAGGCCGGGCCGCAATTCCCACGGGAGAGGCCGCCCGGAGCCGGGAATTGCCCGGCATTCCTCGCGCCCGGCGTCTCTTCCACCCCCCGCCCGCCTCGCCTTCCCTTCCTTGCTGCTTTTCCCCCTTTTCCGGAGCGTCGGCTCTGTTTTTTTTCCCCCTTTATCCCCATCTTTGGACCATCATCTAAGTCCCACTGGATCCCTCCATGGCCCACCCACATTCCCAATTATCCCTGCTCTCTTTTCCCCCACATTCCCAGTTATCCCTGTTCTTTTTTCTCCCATATTCCCGATTATCGCTATTCTTTTCCCCCTTCTTCATGGCACCTTATTCCCAATTACCCCCATTCTTTTTCCCCCCACATTCCCCAACATTCCCGATTTTTCCCATTGTTCCTCCCCCTTCCCGCAGCCTCCGTCACCCTGGACCCCTCCACGGCCCACCCACATTCCCAGTTATCCCCATTCTTTTCCCCCTTCTTCATGGCACCTTATTCCCAATTACCCCCACTCTTTTCCCCCCCACATTCCCCAACATTCCCCATTTTTCCCGTTGTTCCTCCCCCTTCCCACAGCCTCCGTCACCCTGGACCCCTCCACGGCCCACCCACATTCCCAGTTATCCCCGTTCTTTTCTCCCCCCACATTCCCAATTATCCCCATTCTTTTCCCCCCCACATTTCCCCATATTCCCGATTATTCCCGTTGTTTCTCCCGCTTCCCGCAGCCTCCGTCACCCTGGACCCCTCCACGGCCCACCCGCGCCTCAGCGTCTCGGCCGACGGGCGCTCCGTGCGCCTGGCCGCGCGCCGGCCCCGCGACCACCCCAAGGCCTCCGAGGGCGACTGCTCCGTGCTCGGCTCGCCCGGCTTCAGCGGAGGCCGCCACTACTGGGAGGTGGAGGTCGGAGGCCGCCGCGGCTGGGCCCTCGGCGCCGCCGGCGCCCTCCCCAAGCGCCAGGTGTGGTGCGTGGGCACGGACGGCAAGCGCGGCCCCGGAGCGCCGGGAACGCCGGGAATGCTGGCGCTGGCGCCCGCCGAGCGGCCCCGGCGCCGCCTCGCCGTCTACCTGGACTACGAGCGAGGCCAGCTGGGCTTCTACGACGCCGACGCCATGAGCCACATCCACACGTTCCAGGCGGCCTTCGGCGAGCGCGTCTTCCCGTTCTTCCGCGTGCTGGCCAAGGGCACCCGCCTCCGCATCTGCACCTGAGGCCGGGGCCTCCCGCGGGATCCGCCTCCCTTTGGCCTCCCCCTGCTGCTGCCTCCCTTTTCCAGCTCTTTATCCCTATCTGCACCTGAGGCCGGGGCCTCCCATGGGATC